AATACATAATGAGATAATAATTCATGAAATGAAGTACAAAAATACAGAAATTAATTCATGAATCAAACAATTAGAAACTTACCAAACATTAGCGCAGCAGTTTCTCGGCCAATTGATCATCCTAATCTTCTCAGACGATAATGGAAATTCCCTATATGACATGAAAATTCACCACAGTAAATTTCACTAGGAATCTGAACGCTTCGAAAATGATAAAATAATCGATTAAAAATCGTCAATAATTATTAAATATTAGTATCAAACAACTGATTAAAAATTGCAATTGTAAAAATGCAAAAATATTAGTAATATTAGCAAATTTGTTGGCGATACGAAACAAAATCGAATATAACCTTATTTTAAGAAACCTTCGGGGAAACATATAATTAAATAATATAACATACTATACAACAAGTGTTCGCGAAAATATATAGAAAAATATATTTTAAAGAACTCTAAGGGAAACTTTGAAAGTCAATAGAATTGAAAAACACTTTAGATAGTGAAAGACGAAGAAGATATGTAACGCGTAATGTATGGAATTTCAAACGAGATTTAACTATAACACAAATCACACGTATAACGACCAAGAATCATCGATTATTTTTAAGTGACGTTAAATCCAAATTACATCAAAATTCACATCAAGTTTTTGATAAATTCGAATGCATTTGAATCACTATAGACGCGCGAAATTCACAAAGAGTGGCACTAACCTCACGCGCTACACTCGAATCGCGGTACACTATACTAACTTTATTATACTAAACCACGTATCGCTTTTAACTTAAACTTATCACTTTTAAACGACGAAAATTTTGTCTTTTAACGTAAATACCTTCGAACGCAAAAACACTCGAAATGAAAGAACGAAATGCGAGAGAAACTAATTGAACGCTCGCGTGCATTCGCGACCGGCTGCGCGCGACGCACTCTGCGCGTCAGTAGCAGATTAACCAATCAGAATTGCGCAGCGTAAAAGCGCGGGGAATTCGACCGCGAGGCAAAACTCGTTTCACGTTCCATTTGCTGTAATGACTTATTCACGAGGTAATCGTCGAGAGGTGATAGAAGTTTCTGAATGGTACGTTACATTGTTGTACGTTCCTCTCTTTTAACTGGAGGTTTTTTAGCTGATAGAAATTAAAAATATCGTAGGTTATGAACGCAGTTGTTGGCTCTCGTTACTCTGTTTCAATTACTTTCGGAGTTTTATGCTTTTAGAAATTCGAGGGAGTCGCAGGAATATGGAAGCTAAATAAAAATTTGTTCCAGCTGTTTTGATCACGTAATTTTGAGCCAAATTTTATTGTAGTTTATGCTCTTGTAAATATAATATTACAAGACAATAAATATAATTTACGAGTGGAGAAAAGTTTCATTTTATCGAACATTATAAGACAGTGACAAAAATAAATTAAATTATAATTCGCCTGTCGCAGTTAACAGATAGACAGTTCTTTGTCAAAGGACGCGCTTATTTTATGAAATAAAAATTCATTCGTTTGCCACATAAAATGAAATGTACTCTATAGTAGAACACTGTCTCTCTTGGTTTTTATTATAGAAATTGATATTATTGTATCTTCTGTTTTCCGTAGAATTGGATTCGTTATCCGTGGAACAATTCAGATAGAAGTAAAATGAATTCAGTGATTGCATATCAACTTTTATCGACGTTTTGATGAAATACACGGAAAAAAAATAAATAAATTTTTTAATAGTGGGACAATAGGGAGTCAAATAGGATGGAAAAATATATGTTGATTGGAACTAGGGAAAAGTGAATTGATTGTTGATTAAAAAGTTTAACAAATTGAATACATTAATGATATTTTAATAAATTTATGATATAACAATAAGTAAATTTATATAAAAATTTATTACTCGTTAATACAAAATTGATTGAAACGTGATTAAAAACCTAATTTCCTTTTTGATTGATTCCAATTTTTGTTCGTTTATTCAAATTACTGAAAGACGAAGCCACTCCTTTTTACTCCAACAACCTCTAACGATTAATAATAATAAATCACCTTTTTTCCCCCGCTCTTCATTATCAATCTTACTACAACTAATAATGAAACTATAAGTCACTTTTTCCCCCCTGTTCACCATTATCAATCTTCCACCGCTCCAATTATCTCATTTCGCGAACTATCAAGATGCATCACGCGCCTCGTAAAGTGAACTTTCACGAAATCGTTCATTTCTTGACGATTGACTAACTTTCTATTAATTTTCTACTCACAGGAAATTACGGATCAAGTTCGAGCACATTTCATTTGGAACAAGATAAAATTATTACTTATTCTGCATACGTATTTTGTTAACTAACATAGAAGCAATTTCACACGGAGTGAAATTTCCTATCCAAGTCAATTGGATTGTTCGAATGAAATTACAAGTGATCTGAAATAGTACTTCAAACAAAAACATAAATACACAACTGTGTTACACTGTGGTTGATTTATGAAATATTTTACAAACTAATTTTCGCGATTATTCGGTGAACGTTGAGATTCGATCGTTTTCGATTGGAGGTCACGGATGAAGGCATCCGTCAATCGCTTTGCGACGCGTCAGTTTCTCGTCAAAGGGAGGAACGATATCGATAAAGGGGTGGACAGATCGAGATGCCTTTCAAGAAAGAATCACACGCGCGAGTTGATTAATCGACCAGTCGCCGATGGCGGCTTCATTTTTCCTTTCGATGAATCTCATTCGTGGCGCGATTGATTTTAGAGTTGATCTAACGTGAAATTCTAATTCACGCTAACAGCCAAAAGTTTGCAATTATTACTAGTATTACTAGTAGTTTATTAATTTTATATTATTATTAGAATTTTAGGATTACTTTGACTGGAATTATTATTAGTATTATTAATTAGAATTATTGTTATTATCATCATTACACCTGCAATTACACGAAGCGACACGAACAGTATGAAATTTTCTGGTATATTCGAAATCAAGAAAAGAAATCCTAAAATCCTTCTCAGGGGGAAAAGCAATCTTCTGGAAGTATAGTTCAATATTCCGACTGAAGTAAAATCAATTTGTTTTGTACTTTCTAATTAATTCGACAATATTAACTTCTCTATTTTTTAAACTGCTGTTTCAATATTCATCATTTCTTTTGCTCCTTTTTTTCAATCCAGTTGTACGAAAACTTCGTCTTTTTTCTTCAGTAAACTCGTGCGATTGATTGGAGATTCTCGTTCGTTGTAACATCTATCCGTTTTGACACATTCAACAGTTATTAGTACTATCATTAATATTCTTTCATTATCATCGTCTATTGTGATTATTATTTCTTATATTTGGAATCATATTAAGTTTGTGTTATGTTATTTTCAAAAGGATAATAATCTTACGAGAAAAGTGTAAATCTGCACAATGCAACCGCAACATTACGTAAATACGAGTCGAAGTTCCATTTTTTTTTTTTTTTTTTTTTTTTTTTTTTCAAAAGCTTAATCGTATTTGAAATTTCGTTCGACGCTCGGATGTGGAATCGCGGCTGCTGAATATTTGAAATAAAGTTGTTAGAACTTCATTACACGGGGTCATGAATCAGCGGGAAATATAACGCGCAACTTTTTTTACGAGTCTCAACTTTGAAAGCGTATCGCAACAGCTGCTGAAAGTATAAATTCGCCGCCGCCCAGAGGCGGCTTACGTAAATGTTTATTTGTATGAATCCAGGATCTCACGATCTTGCGGATGAGCCGAGTCAGGCGCTTCCTTAAAATGCCACTTTGAAACGAGAATAATTCGCGACGAACGCGAAACTTTCCCGTCCATGTTTTCGCGGAAATTCCTCAAAAATGATAGCAAACTGATGATTATCATTTTAAGAGCAAATCACAGGAAGGCGAGACAAATGACAGATAACTCGGTTGCGAATTTTCACTTTTTTATTTTTAAGTAAAGAAATAGAACTCGAATAGAAATTAATGTATCAAAATATTGATGACGAACATTCTACACCTTTCAGTTTTCTATAAAAAAATTGCAAACTGGTGATAACGAATTGTAAAGTAAACTTGAAACTCTGCACATCACTTTTCTCTGCTTTCCAATCTATCAAGTTGATTAACGTAATAGATCCTGAAGAGATTTATTATTGTTATTATTACCTAGGTGCCATTCCTCGAGTATAGTACAAACTATTTTAATATAAAGAAATGGTAAAACCAGTAAAAACAAATATTCTACATGCAGCGTTCCTAAAACCAGCACAAAACAACAAAAACTACGAGAAAAAAGAAGAAAAGAAAAAATTGAACAAAAACAGTATCGTTTTATCACATACCTGGCGTCGTACGTTTACGTACTTCGTACTTTCTTCTTCGGAAGTTCTTCAGAAACGAACTATGAAACTTGAAGTATTTGCTTAAAGCTGAATTGAACAAAATACAAACTGTTTTTTACCATAGAATTCCCTTTCTCCAGAAGGTTTCAATAAACAACACGCACCAGTGTCAGAGCAAATGATATATATAATATATATATTTATTTAAAAAAAAAACGAAACGGCGTGGCGGTTGGTTGTTGGACGATAAATAATCTAAACAATCATCGGCTCAACGACGACGAAATTAATTATACAATATGAGGAGATGGGAAGTTTGTCGCTGTTTGACGCGCGGCACACGCAACGATAAGGGGAATAGCGAAGATATTGCTCCCAGTGTGCCGTTACTCTACTATAAAACAGCGAGCTATAGTGCGTTATGCGTGAACGAGTAATTTGCGTCGCGTAGATTCAGACGTTAAAAGTCGGAAGGAAAGTTGCCCTCGCTTGTCTCTGCTTAATCCTCGGTGTACTCGAACGGCTCCGGCGGCTCTGCTTCCTGTTCTTCCTCCGGATGGGGGCCATAAGCTGCAACCGTAACAATGGTAATAGAACCTAATGCGAACGTAACTTCTTGTTAAGGGGCGGAGAGCTCTCGACGCGTGCGATAAAAAAAAAAAAAAAAAAAATTGGCTCTCTGGCTGTTCGTTTTCAAGGAGATATTCAACTTCGGAATTTTCTTTTCCCTCTTCCAGGTGAAATTTCGAAATTATACTACTTAAATTGTTGCAGTTGAAATTTGGTAAAGTGAACGTGTAATTGCGAATTATTAATTTATTAATGCAAAATTTGCCTGCCGATGTATATTTAGAATTTATATATTCATAAATTACGATTTTTGTAAATTACGTTGCACTCGTATCAGAATTAGAAATAAACATATAGACGTACAAAACTGTATCTCACGTTATACATTGGGGGATGTATAGCCTGTCAACCGCATAAATAAACAACGAATTTCAAATTTCAACTTTTCCCTATTTTTATACGGTTCGCCAATGTGTGCACCTATTGTTATTCACGATAGATAATAAATGTCTTGAAATTGATATTTCACGAATGCAGAATAATTCTGGTTTGGTAACAAAGTGCTGAAACACACTGGACGATAAAGCGTGTTGATGAAGATGATTTAATTGAATTGTTTGTAAAAAAAGTTATTCAATAAAGTGATATATCACTGTTATTTTCTATTTAGCATTCTTCCATTGTAAAGTGAAAATTAAATAAAAATAAAGAGAAAAAACATACACTCCCTGTATTTTAACTGCGATATTAAATATTAAATCAATAATAATTTGTAGTAATGTTAAGTTCATTATAACACGGTAACAACGTAAATAAAATCGATTGTTTAATCGAATCGATTGGATTCCAATTCATTGATAATCTGTTTAATAAAACAATGACGAAGCTTTAATCTGAAAATGCACTTTAAGCCGCGTAAATTAATTAATTCCAGTTTATCGTCTCGAAAACTTCTCATTCAAAAGGAACGTTTTCAAATCTCATTACGTTATTTTAACAAAGCTCGTAGCATTTCTCTTGTTGGAAACAGATAATAATTTTCGGTTCACACATTCAGTGTATGTTGTCAAAAAAATTCCCTCGAATGAAGATTATAATATATCCATTGACTAATTGTTCTATTCAAAAACTTACTAATCATTGCTCAAACGTTATCACAAACTAAACATTTCAATGAAATTGTTGTCTCAAGAAATGTATTGTTTTTACCAGCAGATTATTAATCAAGGTGTCATAATGACTGTAACAATTTGTATTATATTACAAAAATCCACGATATTCAATTTCCTTCTTTCACATTCTCTCTGACATTAATTAATAATTCTCTAAAAAAAAAAAATTATACCCGATATTTTTCACCAGCAATTATGTTATATTAACCCTTAAATGCTTATTCTTTCTCCATTTAGCATCAATTGGTAATAAAATCAAGTCAAATTGAAAGTTAAATTAAGTGACGTGAGATTTTCGAGACGAAAAACGTCCACTTACCAGCCACCGGTTCCACAAGCTCCTCCTCAGTGTCCGACTGAATGTGCTTCACCATCACGATACCGCCGATCTGAATGTCCTTGACGGTCACATAATGGCTACCTTCCATCAACTGTATCACCTTCAGTTGCTGCCTAAGCACGCGAGCTGGATTTTGCAGGATTTCGAAACTCGGCTCGGCTTCCTTCTTCTCCTTCTCCGTTCCCTTCTCCCCCTCTTCCTTGCCCTTCTTCTCCACCTTCTCCTTCGTTTCTTTCGCCTCTTTTGCCTCTTTCGCCTCTTTCGCCTCTTTCGCCGGCTCTTTCTCCTTCCGTTTCTCCTCTTTCTCCTTGGACGACGCCATCTCGACGGTTTCCTTCGCCGTCTCCGGCGGATCCTGCGATTGAAAATGAAATATTGAAAGAAGGAGAAAAAAGGAGTAAGCACTTTCAAAGATCCAGCCGTCCGTAGAAACGATCGTGCGATCTTTAATTGCAGAAACAAGTCGTGCGCGGGTAGGTTGATAAAAATTCGATTCGGACTCACCACTTCCATCTTCTCGTGCGAGTCGCGAGCACGCCTCTCAGACTCGCGCCTCCGAGCTCTGGCAGCGATGCTGAGGACAGCGGTGGTGATCTTCTCCCTTTCCTCGCGTTTCTTTTCTTCGAGCGGCGCCGGATACGCGTAGACGCTCGGCCTGGCGTTCGAACGGATCTCCAGCTTCGGCATTTTCAACTGAGCGTTCAGAGCGATTAGGCAAGTCGGCGTGAAGGCCAGGGCCAAGCAATGGGCCAACGGGAACCAGTACCAATACTGCGTGAACACCAACGCGCCGACCACCGCCAGCATGTTCGTGTGACCGGTCCTTGATTGCAACGACACCGTCACGTTACGACCACCTGCAACGAATTGAATATGCAAATTTTCCCTCGCGTATTTCCCCTCAGAGAATCAAGGAAATCGAATTTAAACAGAGGTTTGTTTCACTACCGCGGCAAGTGTTATCGTTAACCTACGAGGTGTTCATCAATTTTGATTGCATTGAGTTTCTTTCTTTCTTTTTTTTTTTTTTTTTTTTTTTTTTTTTGTTACTCTGCGACGGATATTCGATTGCTCAATTTTATTTCACTTTCGCAGGAAATTTCATCGAGGAGGTGTTTTTCTTCTTTTGTGTTAGGTTCAGCATCTTTTAGAATTATTATTTACTGCTATTTTACTATCTCGAAATTTTGTTTTAAAATCTTTGCATCTCTAGAAGTCTTCGATTCACCAGAGTTTTTGTGGATTTTTGGAATTGTCCATTTCGCATATGGCCCTGAATAACGGGCGACAAAATCGAATAAATATAAATTTCACTTCGGCCGGGATTTCAATTTCGATTCGATCTACTTCGAATTTAATTCGTATTTTACGTGTGAACTTCGTTGCATAAAATTTGTAGATTAATTTTTATACACCTCTGCGTGTAAACGTGTGTTCATATTTTTTTAAAAGATTCAGTGGGAAATGTTAACGTTAACGATTGAATATTTCATATGTTACAACTCAATGTAATAATACACTGGGACTTTTAACGCATTTGCATTCTAGCGAGAAGTAATTAAAAGATACCGAGACAATAAGTTATTTACAGAGACAACACACGTTAATTAGTCAAATTACTGTAATTAAATTTACAGAGCCAACGTCTTCAAGTATAATTCCCTAGTTGAACTACTTCATTTCGTTTCGTTGCTCAAAATAAAGATCCAGAATTTATCTTCTACATATTTATATTTTCAAGAAAAATGGCAAATAACTGATGAAATCTGAGTTTATAAAATTTTCCTTTAATATGTTTGATGTTTCTTCCAGAATTATTATTTGTTCTTTATCCATTATTTTTGGTATTACTTCTCGTTTATTTATTATTTACTGCTATAAAATTAAGCTAATTAGCTTGATTTTAATATTTATCTCCTGCAGTTAAGTTTCGCAGATTGAAATTAAGATACTAGTTAATAAATTAATTCTGTTAATTATTATGATTATCGTCGAACAATATGAAAACATTTCAAAAATTTAAAACTTATATATAAAAGATATATTAAATTAAATAGCAGTAAATATGAAATTACATTCTCAACTGTACGACTCTGTTTTTAAAATTTTCTTCATATCTTATAGTACCAATTTTCATTTTATCGAAGAAACAAAACTTCTAAAATTCATCGCACAAAATTTTCAACCACGCAACCTTCATCTCGCAAATAAAAGAGATCCAAAGTTCATCAAAAATAAATAAACCTAGAATTTTAAAAAATAAAAGCAGAGAATGGGAGCGCGAAATATCAAACAAACGCATTCGTTGTGCAATTGTACGTTAGAAAGAAAATTCGAACGTTCGTATATCTCATCTGAAACAGTCTCGTCGCATCACAAAGAGAAGCACAACACATTTGCTGGAGCCAATCTAAACCAATCGGACCGAGAAATAACCAGCACCGTGACGAAACAAATTCGTAATCTCTGCGATCGAAATATATCAAACACTTTCAACCGATCAGAAAGTGATCAGCTTCCGACCTATCTTTCAAACAACGCCCCAACGACCAACTAGAAGCTTGGATTTCGCTATTTCCTGTCGACGAGAGGGCAAGAAGCCTCGAAAGAATCTTTCATCGGCAATCTGTATTATATTTTCGCTCTATGGACAGACTCTTATCGACTATCGTTCAACCTAACCTGCGCGAAGTGGAACGATTCTAACAGGTTAATTTCGTTAAAATCGAAAGAGAAATATTGACAATCGAAGGCACGTGAAATTTCGATCGTACGATATAAACTAAAGTTTCTTTAATTATTTAAGAATATATCAATATTAAGAAACTTAAGAATATACTAGACTATAATATTAAAATTATTAAAATATTAGAATTAGAACGATATTTAATCCTTTATTTGAGCCACTATGGCGACACGATCTTCTTTCCTCCGAGTGTACGTGTCGTTTTACGATCGACAGGTGTAAATAATTTCATTTTTCTAATTTTTGGACATCCGGTACATTCCACAAACTGATGTTTGAGATATTTCCTGTGTAAGAAATCGTAATTTGGAAAATTAGAAAAATCAGAACGTTTTTATTCCCAGATATTATTAAGTGATATCTGCCTCCAAAATATCCATCACCTACCCAAAAAATAACTTCAACCTCTTCAAGGACGAATTTTCTAAAGTGAAAAAAAAAAGATTCAATTTTCTGGTTGATTACATTTCATAATGATTTCAATTTAAAGTACGTATACGTGTTCCCGAAGAGGTTGAAAATATAAATTAAAAAAAGAACTAAGGTAGTGCCGATCGCGAAGAATCGAAAGATCACAGTCTCTCCTCTCCCCAAAGTGACTTCCATTTAACAAATCACATACACCTACCTCGCCCCCTTATTTATTTATTTATTTATTTATTTCAAACATTGCAAAAAAAATTGCAAAAAGAAAAAAGAAATTCTACCGAGCTGGATAATTTCTTGCCACTGTTTTTCAAGAGATATCATCCTCTGTGCAAGTGAAACTCACCTGCGTCGATGATCCCCTGCGCCAAGATGGCGCCGAACTTCGCCATCACGTCCTCGTGCTTGTCCACGATCACCTTCGCGTACAGGGCCCGGAAATCCTTGACTCGCGAGCAAGTGGCCTCGGTTTGCTGGATCAGGATCATCGCCGAGGCGATCAGAGCGCCCTGGCGAACAAAGTTCACCGAATCGTTCGTCATTGGATCGAGGAGAGCTATGGCTTCCTTGAGGCCGGTGCCGGCACACGCGATCCCCAAGGCCATCGCCGCTCCGTATCTTACGTGGGGATTGTAGCTCTCCGCCAGCAACGAGACCACGCTGGGACATTGCTCCGGTGTTCTGCAACAAACCAGACGAAGTTTCGTGCGTCTGAGGGATGACGAATGGGCTCGTGCATTCGCGAAATATACGCATCGATCACGAGGAGTTCTCGAGAGAAAGTTAAGTTACGTTGACTCCTGACATTTCTCAAGCGCGACAGTCACTCGAATAATGCAGCGATGCAAATACATTCGCGTTGTGTATGTTTATCGCATTATACCGATTGTGTTGACAAGTGTTATTTATTGTACTGATCATTGTATTATATTATTGTGCGATTAATAATAAATAATTATAAAACTTCTAACATACGAAATATTACGAAAATTACAAAAATTGTAGAGATGAAGAAAATTCTTACCAACGTCCCATTTCTCGAAGCACGTTCTCGAGAAACATGAATTTGTCGCGAAAGTCCAGTGATACTTAGACAAAATCATATTTGTAAATATAATTCTTACACAATGAAATTGTTTCATGAACTGAATATTGCAAAAAGCACGATACTCTAGTGACAATTAATAATTAATTAAGCTAAGAAAATTTTTCAACGTTTCAATAAAAAATAAAAAAAAAAAAAATACAAAATTTGAACGCGTAATTCTCTCATTGCCTCAGTCGCGGTTATAAACTGAGAATTCTGATAAAAATCACGGCAGCGAAGTTTCTTTCCCAGTTGGCTTGCTCTTACAATGAAATCAAATTTCTCAGAAGCTTCTGTTATCTCTCATCAACGCGCCCTTCTCGCTGCAATTCTTCACTAACCTATGAACTTTCGAGATGCGAAATACGAAACACGAAGTGTGGGTTGGGTTTGACGTTGACGCGGAGGCGGATGCGATACACACAATTCGTTTGCAACGTGCGAAAGGTACAAAGGAAGACGCACAGTCTCGAACAAACAATTCAGAA